GCTGGGCACCACTGCAAAGAGTCTGGCCCCGTCCTCCTGACCCCCACCCTGAAGATATTTAGAGGCATTTCTAAGGTCCCCTCTCAGCCTTCTCTTCTCCAGGCTGAACAAGCCCAGCTCCCTCAGCCTCTCCTCGTAGCAGAGATGCTCCAGTCCCCTCCTCATCCTCGTAGCCCTCCGCTGGACTCTCTCCAGTAGCTCCTCATCTTTCTTGAACTGGGGAGCCCACCAGTTAACGCACGTGTGGATAACCTGACTTCACCCAGCAGCAAAGCCACGGTGCAGAGCCCCAGGCAGCGCACGGTGCGGGACGTGCTGGAAGGCATCAGCAGCAGAAGTCTCCTTCTGCTGAAAAGTTTGGGCACGCGTGGACAGAGACACCTCATGGTTAAAATATTTTCTGGTTATGTAGACTGAATTCTGTCAATTAAAACATAAACATGCTTGGCAATTCAAACAAACATCTCAAAAGCGCTGCAGAGCTACTGTAAGGGAGCAGTTACTTGGGAGGGAAATATATAGATATAAAGCGTTACCCACTGCTATTGAGACAGCACTTATGACAGCTCCCAAGTAGCCCTGGATGAACTTGGATGTCGGAGAAGGCTTTGGAAAGAAAAAGAAAACATATTTTCAATACACAAACTTCTGGTTATTAAAACGCAACCGAGCTTTCTTGTTTGTTTTGCGTTGGGTTTATTTGTTTAAAACCAGAGACAGGTTTAATTTTGTCATATTGTTCTGTGACACACGGTCTGTCATCTAGCAGCGGCGAAAGCAAGGAAAATTGTAGCCTCACGAGCAAGGTTAAAGGGAACGGAAAATTAATTGGCATCAGAAAATTATAATAATAGCAGCTTAAAGGAAGTATGGGAACGAAATCCAGCAAATGGTACAAAATTAGCATTCTTACCCACTAGTGATGAACCCCAAACTCTCCACATTAAATATTTGTCTTTGAAACGTTATCTCAGTGAGCTGGACGGTTTCCAGCTCCGCTTCCCGTCTCGAGCTTCCCGCATCCCGACGCGGGATGAACGAAGGCTACAGCCACGGAAGAGAGCGGGAGCAGCCCCACCACTTCCCAGCACCGCTGCCGGGAGATGGCAGCGTGGTCGCAGAGCCAGACACCCAGGCACCATTTTGCTTTATGGTCAGTTATATATCAAATTAAACCATTTCATACCAGTTAGAATAGTGGTTCAGCTCAAAGGCATTGAGTGTTACTTCTGTGCCTTGAGTGATTTTGAGTTCCTCACGCCACTTACAGCTGAGGTTTAAAATGGAAGTCTACACAGGAGAACGGACAATCCATAAATTCAAAAAATAAATTCATCACAGTGCTGACTCCAGAGTTTCTATTAACAGCGAAGAGACAAGACTTCTGTTTCCGTGTCAAACCAGACCTAACGCGCCACGTATGTCGGGTCTCCTCACCTTCGTCGCGTTGCGGTTTGCATAGTTGACGCACGCGTTGTGGCTCTGATTCAACCACTGAAGAGGAAACGAGAAGAGAGAGACATAAACATAACTTCACAAAAATAATAACAATTAAAAAATCGATAGATGCGGGAGCGCCGCGGTAAAATTCACCTCCCTTCGGACCGCCTCGCAGCTTGCCACCTCTTTTCAAAGGCTCATGCCTAGCCTACGTCTGAGCTAATTCCCTTCGAAGTGAGGGACAGAGATCCCAAGGCACCCAGTGCCTGGCGGGCAGCAGCTCCACCTCCCCGTACGCTCGACGTGCAACTCTTCTCCCGGCCCAATCCACCTCCGCACGACACCTCAGTGCTATCGGTCTTTATTTTCGCCAGCCCCAAGCCCATACTGCTGTAAGACACCTCAGTAAGCCCAGCAGCTGCTCCGTCAGTCATTTATGAAGCTCCCTGGTTCCCAAGCAGGAGGTCACAGGAGGCTTCAGCTGAGGAACAGGAGATGAGCAGATGTAACATCTTAGGGATACGGATGCCACTAAACTGGTACTGCTGTCCACAACTTTTTGGAGCAGGATCTGTCCCCAGCGGAGCACGGTAGCAGCTGGGGATGAGTAGCACCATGCTCCTAAAGGGTTTTACCCGCAGGAGCTGCTGGCAATGTAAACAAAATGATGGTTTCTGTCCCCAAAACACCATGATTCCAGTTGAGATCGTGTCAAGACTGGACTCCTCTCCAGCTGTGGGCAGAACTGAGATGTGGGAGGGAACGAAGTGGGGGTGAGGAGAGACAGAGTGAAAGGAGGCACCAAAACACGGGCATCAGTCCTTGCCGAGTCCACCGGGCAAGAGCATGTTTTCCCTGCCGACCAGCTCTCCAGCCTGGAACTTGGACCTAGCAAACCTTCCTTTATTGTTTTATTTAAATAATAACTACAAAGTCATCTAGCTAATATGTGCTGGAAATCTGCCTCAGTTTTCCAGGTTTGGGAGGTTTTTTTGACCCTCACAGCTCACATCGACATTGGCAGGTCCACAGGACCAGGCTTGGGCTAACCTCAGACATGCACATTTTGGACAACAGCAACAACTGCTTCACTGTCCAAGCCCAACCCTGTAGGACCCAGTGTTTGCTAAGGCAGTAATACAGATCACCCTTAATTTCCATGTTATTTACCCTGACAACTCTCATCTTCAGAGAGATGTAGGCATACTGCTCAGATATTGTCCTTAACCTCGCTGAAGCTGCCTCTAGGTTTAAGACCTCCCCACCACCCACTTCTTGACTCTTCCTAGGTGGCTGCCTGACACCCCCCTGGGCTTTTTGGGTGATGCCTCCTAATTGCTACTCCTCCCACTTGTGTTTTTCAGAAAGGGGTGACCAGTATGCCCATCAGTAAGAACGGTGGAGAGAAGAGTTTGAGAACCACTCGTTAAGCGGTGGTGGCCCACGCTGGCTTTGGTTGCCAGACTTGCCTGCTACGACCTCCCTCTTGAGCAGGTTCATTTCAGTTCCGTGTTTGAAATATTCTTTCTGGTTTTAAAAGGATTATTCCATCCTTTTAAAGGCAGGAGTTTCTCCCAGCTACGTCACGATGGTGGGAACAGGAGCTCCTCACGTAAGCCATTTACAAGGCACCCAGTCCAAGCCAGCTACCCAGGCTGGCTTGCACCTCACGCGCCCAAGAGTAACTTCTCCAAAAGCCAACTCTTTCCATTGTAGATGTCTAAAAACAGGTAAGGCAAGTTGCCTTCAGAAATATGAAAGAGTCTAGATGACTCCAGCCACCATCCCACTCCCAGCAGGTAAAGCCACCCGGCCAAAACTCCTAGCTAAATAAACCAAGCAGGAACTTACTGACATGTACCAAAATATTCTCGGTTCTGCAGCCTTCCTAACGTACTAGGCAGATCCCGTTCTGCTTTGAAATTTCTTAACCGCATCATTCTCTATCATCACTTACACTGTAGAGAATAAAAAGACTAAAAATAAGTCTGAAAATAACTTGTTCTTTCATTTCAGTTAGTGCTGAAATTATACTTAAGTGGGGTGTTTACTACGGATATAACTAATTCGTGTGCATGCTCCCTCCCCTTGCTCTTAATTCCCAGAATTTTAATGGGAAATAACACCACCACCTCCTTACAAACCCAATTTTTTTTCCCAAAGACCCTGCAGCGCATGGAACGCAGAGGTTCTTGCCTTTGCAATGCACAGCTCTGCCCAAAATTCCTGGGCACAGGGCCTTCCGCTGCCCCCAGCCCTGCTCACACGTTGCACTTCCGATGGGAATTCACCAACGAAGATCCCAACTGCCTGACGGGGTGTCTTGAAAACAGCAGACGTGTGAGCTTAAGGGCCTACATTTTCACGGAAGTACGCATTGTGTGGTCATTTACACCTGTAGAAAATGGGTCCAAAAAGCTGCTTTTGAGATCCTGGGCTATTTTGCATCTCCCTTCTGATGGCATAAATTGCCGGGTGCTGGAAAGCGGACCCAAGAGTTTGCTTATAGCCCATTCCAGACCTACAAAACCTTTCCCTGATTATATCCACCCACATCATCTCCCCGTTAACTCAAGCCACGTGCATTGGTTTGCTCTCTAGACACAAGCCAACTGCTGCTTTCCTTTCCATCACATTCTCCACCCAGCCAGCGCACGGTGGCAGACGAGCGTTACCTGCCAAAACACAGTGGATGCCAGCGTCTGGTTGGGCAAGAGAAGACCAACAACCTGCAAGAGAAGAGATTTTTCTCATTAGCAAATGCATCGTTGGTTTGCTCTCGATGCTCTTCTAGGCGTGCAAACGGCAAGCTTATTTCTAATGACTTGAATAAATTATCTTCATTTATGGCTTTATGTCATTATAGTTATTGAACTTCCCTTCAGCTTTTTGTCTCTCAGTTTTCCAGTGGTCAAACCGGGTGACATCGCTGCCCGTGAAAGCTTTGCATCTTTAATTATTGCTTGCAACACCCTGAGAAGAGTCTGTCTGTAGATACTGTCCACAGAATAGTTCATTAAAATACAATCAACTCTATAATCCAGGTGTTTCTGGAGGATAACACAAACATTGCACGAATGCCAGAGTTCAAAGTTGTCACTATTGGCAGTGAAGGGGGTTTTTCTCCTTTTCCTTTGGCACATTCGCTGCTTCAAGCACAAGAAAGAAATCCGACTTGAACATCTGAAGACAGGAGTGCCACCTGGAAGCACATGTGCTCCTGTTTGGGAGCCTGAATTTTGTTTGAAGAGAATTGTTGATGTGTCATACTCCGAGCTGCGAAAACTCCTGCTTGGTTACGAGCTCAGGCTGACGATCGCCGTCTCCCGGAGGCTTACGGCTGCGTCTCCCAGCACGTCTGGCCAGGTGCCGCCCGCTGCCACGTGAAAGCAAGGTGCCACAGGCTTTGCAAGGTCACCCATCGCAGCACCCGAGGCCACACACGTGGATGTTGCCTATAGAGCCCCGAGAGCATCCTTGGGATGGCTCGATATACCTCACAGGCACGTCGTCTGCAATTCTCTGGAGGCCCCATCTCTCACACGCAATGCAGCGCTGCCAGACTCCCTCTGACCTTGTCTCAGGGCAATCTTCCCTTGAAGAAGAAGTCAAAGAAGAGGAAAGGGATGCAAAACAATGGGATTCCCAACGACAAACCCAACAAACATAGCATCACAGAATCACAGAATGGTCAGGGCTGGCAGGGACCTCTGTGGGTCACCCAGCCCAACCCCCTGCCCAAGCAGGGTCACCCACAGCAGGCTGCACAGCACCGCGTCCAGGCATATTTCTGTATGATACCTGTGATAGAGAATCGCTTGTTTTCACAGAATCCCAGAATCCCAGCATGGCAGGGGTTGGCAGGGGCCTCTGTGGGTCACCCAGCCCAACCCCCTGCCCAAGCAGGGTCACCCACAGCAGGCGGCACAGCACCGCGTCCAGGCGGGGCTGGAATATCTCCAGAGAAGGAGACTCCACAGCCGCCCTGGGCAGCCTGGGCCAGGGCTCCGTCACCCTCAGAGGGAAGAAGTTCTTCCTCATCTTCAGCTGGAGCTTCCTCTGCTTCACTTTGTGCCCGTTGCCCCTTGTCCTGTCGCTGGGCACCACTGGAAAGAGTCTGGCCCCGTTCTCCTGACCCCCACCCTGCAGATACTTGTAAGCATTTATAAGGTCCCTGGACAGGAAGAGGAGTTCTTGGGCAAGAAACACTTAAGATGAGATATTTCCTAGGATCATTGTAATTTTCTCCCCTCCTGCACCTTAAATGTCTGATAGTTTCTGAAGAAGATGGGCTTCTTGTTGCAAGACCACGCTCGCATCTTTGTAAAGAGTATAAAGACTGAGCAACTCCTTTTAATTCCAAATACATTGATTTTCAGGGCACTTGTGTGAACCGAAATGTCTTCAAGGCTTCTGGGCGAGAAGGCTGTGAGTCCATTCCCACGCTCAGACCGTCTTCTGCACCATTTGCTTTAAGTTAATCCCTACAGAAACTGAGAAGAAAGAAAACTTCCCTACTAGAGCACGGAGAGCCTGCCGCAAGGAGGGATAAGCTAAAGCTGTCTCCGCACATCTGCAGCAGCATCAGTTGAAGAGGAGGCAACTTCGACGCTTCAGGACAGAAGAGAGAAATGACAACAACAAACAAAAGGGTAATAGGGTTGGGAGGCCTGATTTCATTTACGTCTTCTCTCCTTTCTCCTCCTCCTCCTCCAGCTTTTCCTCCTACAGCCTTCCGTGAAGTTACAGCTCCTTCGTACGCTGGCCGAGCGCCAATCCGTGCGAGTTACACTAATTTACCGCTTCCATTCAATACGAGGATCTTGTCATTAATTACCCCGTTGCCGGTCTTAGCCAAAGGGATTCAACGGGCGACGAACCTCCTCGCCCCGGGACTGACTTTACACCCCTGAAGCCGGTGGGCTAATGAGGCTCCGGAGGAGGGGGAAGAGTGCAGGCAGCTACTCACATTGTCAGCCGAAGCTGAGCGCCGAGAGAAATAAAAGAGGAAAATAAATAAATAAAAAAGAGCACCCAAAATCTGTATGACTGAAAGAGGCACGTTCAAATGCAAACTCTCCATATGTGCAAGAGTCTGTCAAGAAATGTACAGTTTCACTTTTAATTACTGTCAGGGGAAAAAATAACTAAGAAGGAAAACAAAATAAAAAAGGCTTCTAAACACTAGAAAAGTACCAGCTACAAAATTTAATTGCCTATCAGGTGGGAACGACCCTTCGCGGCCCCAAAGCCAGGGCTGAAGCTGCCGCTCCGACGCGTGTCGGCTCCGAGCAGCTCTCCCCTCGCAAGCCCCGAGTCCTGCCTTGGTGTCAGTGAGAGCCATCTGCGACCCTGGATGAACACCGGGGTCTTCTCCATGAGCTCTGAAACCTCAGCAAGACCCCCCCCATTTTTGAATGGCTGGGGAAAATCAGGTGGTTAAAGGTGTGGGGGGCAGCAGGGAACAGCAGCACTGCTTCTGCTCCATCTTCACCACCTGAGTCTTGGGATGAAATACCTTACAGAATGACAGAATCAAAGAGTGGTAGGGGTTGGCAGGGACCTCTGGGGGTCACCCAGTCCAAC